CTTGTGGAGAGTTATCTTATTGGCAATCATACCACATCTTCTTATTTTTATATATATATTTGAGACCTTTATCTATAATGATAATAGTAATACGAAAACTGGATACATGTATCCATATATTTGTACTTTTTTATGATTAATTTCAAATTGTAGTCTAATAGTATTAAACTTTGAATTATATCACAATTTTTACTACAACTAAAATATTCAAATATCAATGTCATTGCGGTACACTGAATAACTGACGTTCTCTTGTCAGAATTTGGCCTGAACATCTATAAAAGTTCAGGCATTTTGAACTACATTAAGTTCATATGACCGTTCTCATTTACCAAAAGCCTTTAAGGATGCATGTGTTTTCTATACTTGAATGACTTAGTTTTACACGTGTACATATACTTTCTTTTAAAAGAAAATAATTTGTTTTATCCAAATCTTTAGAAATGTACTATAGTTGAACTACTATCTTCCTGTACTATTATAATTCAACGACAGCGTTTCTGTATACAGTCACCCTAACCATTATTCTCGTTTGAAATGAAATTCGGCAATCGCACACCTGAAGTGCGTCAGGAAAAACCTTGATGAAAGAAAAATAAAAAGCGTGGAAAGAAGATAGTAACAACCGATTCTGAAAGAACAATTTTTTACACCTAATCATTTTACAATCGTTATGACAAAATGTAATCAACTAGCGAGAACGAATGGAAAATATAAAACTACAACAAATAAAATCGTTTTATCAATTAATGACTTTCAAAATTTTTATTGAGTAAATATGACGAGGATTCTTCATTTGTCCTTAATCAATGAAGTGTAATGTTGACAAAACTGAAGCCATATGGACTGGGTCAAAATAGGTAGTATGGAAAAACTTTTGCCTGTAAAATTTTTTGTTGGAATCTTTCAGGGAGTTTCAAACTATTTGGTATTCAATTTGAGCTTGCAAAAGCGAAAAAAAACTCTGTGTAGTTACAGCTGATTAAGACAAACAGTTTCAAGTCATTGCTATATACTTGGGTATACAACTCATTGACATATATTGGAATGTTAAAGTTATGAAAAACTTGAACACTCCTAATATTGGTTCAAGTCCTGACTGTCGTTCCTAATCCCCAGACGAGGTTCTGAAGGAGGTTTACGAGATACGTTACAGAAAGGAAAATCATGTAAAGTAAAGCGATCAGTGGCAAAGTCTAAATTCTATAAAAGAGAGGCGATACCAGAGGAAATTCATACTCTTAGGTCGAAAATAAGCTGACAACGAGATGACTAAAAAAGAAAAAGACAAACAGACAAACAGTAGTACAAAAACACAACATAGAAATCTAAAGACTGCGCAACGCTAACCCCACCAAAAACTGGGGGTGATAACAGGTGCTGGGTAAGCAGATCCTGCTCCACATGTGGCACCCGTCGTGTTGCTGATGTTAGTACAAATCCGAAAAATAAGTCTAATTCGGTAGGTCACATTCGGGAAAAGGGGGACGGGATTGTAGGTACGACATTAGGAATATATTTGTTATCATCTGTGAAACGTATATTATATAACGGTCAACCAACTCGTGATGGCGTCCGTAAAACTTACGAAGGGATGCCTTCAACTTCACCACTTGGAACTCTTGGTTTAAAAGCTTCCTTGTGAGCAGCAACCCTCTATCAAGGAAATCATGATAGGAAATACAAGCCCTGGAATATCGTATCAACTGGGAGATATATACTCCGTATGCAAGCGCTGCTGGAATGTTGCTACATAAAAATGGAAAATTCACAATTGGGAAGCTGAAATCATCTCTTTTGTCGTAAAGTTTTGTTTGCAACCGACTCTCATTATCAATTTTTAGTAGATGTAAGTCAAGATATGAGGCAAACTTAACTGTTTCTGTTGTATCCTTTATCTCTAGTTCGATGGGTTAGATGCATTCAACATAATCACCAAATGTTGAATTATTTAGTGAGGGAACATCATCTATATAGCGGAAAGTAAAGTTAAAGGATACTGCCAACTTCTTTTGTTTCTTTCGAAGAAGTTCTGTATGAAGTCAGCCTCATATGAATAAAGGAACAAGGGGAACAGTTGGTTGTCATGGGAATGCTGATCGTTTGTTGAAAAACACGTCCTCCAAACGTAACAAATATGTTGTCAATCAAGAAATCAAGCATCTTGATAATGTCAGTTTCAGAGAATTTTTTGTTCGAATCCGAGTGATTTTTTACAAAGTAGGATTTATCCCTCCCTAAGACAAGATACTTGTATCTACGTTGGCCATTCTTTTTTATGAAACAAATCAGGACCAACTCTTTCAATTTGTCTTTTAGTTTAAAATTTTGAATACTTGTGTAAAATGTAGAAAAGTAAAATGTTATAAAATTTAAAACTTTTAATACTATTGCAGGATGAAATAGTCTTAGATTGTATGTTCTCTAAAAGATCTTTGTAATTTTTTAGTATTCATATCTGATTCACGCCACCTCTAGAATAGGTAGTTTCACAATAATTTTGAAGCCCGCCATTTATTGCTGATAAAATTGATGTTAATAAATTAGAAAGAGGTTTCGTATAGCACTTTGAAGACTCAGCAATATAACGTTGTTTGTAATGACACTTATGTAGTTTAGGTATCCATACAGTGCTGGAAAATCCAGTTTTTTCATCTTTGGTTGAAATTCCAAAGAAACATACTAGTAGAACAGACATATCATTATCCAGGATTTCCTCTTTAGTAAGTGTCGTGGGGGTATATGTTGAGTTTCCATGTGAATTGTCAAATCCTAATTCATTTATCAAGCAGTTTAAGTAATGTGATTTACACACAAAAACGATTTGTTTGGGGCTTTATCTGCGGGGACAACACCATATTTGTCATGGAGGTAGGACAAGTGTTTTGCAACATTTGGATCTTTAAAGATTGATTTAGCATGGTATTATTAGACCCACTCAGTTTCTTAATTCTGATTTGTATCAACGACCTCACGGCTTTTGTCTTCTTTCCCGCATTTAATCCATTGCCTGGCATAATCCTAGACTGAATCCGTCAGTATTTTGAAGTTGTGTTTCCAATTGATGTTTCTAGGCCCACGATATTTTGGGTCTTTTGATAACACATGTCACAGAGAAGTGTTACTGACAATATTTAGGTCACCGGTTATAACGTGACAAGCCGGATTATATATGAATGGGGAACAAGCACAGGTGCAATCAGTAGGTTTAGACTTGAAGTCGCCAATATTTAGATCCTGCAAAACTTGTTTGTAATTGAATATTTTAGTTGCAACTGGTTTGGTATAGGTATAAGAAATGATAGGTACAGACTGGTCTTTAAAATAGGGAGGTATTTTCGAGTGAACTGATTTATGATGAAGGATATTGCTGAAGTTGATGGCATCGAGACCTTTGTTGGCAAAGGAAAGTTTAAGAAATAAAGGATCCTTTCTCCTTTTCTCCTATAATGGAGGTCTTAATATGCCTTATAGCATGCTATCCTGGAAAATGTTTCCTTGTTGTAAAATAAGTTTAAATTTGAAAAGAAATACTGATTTTCTGACCCAGTTCATATGGCTGTCCTTAACAACAAACTAGATGGCAGGATGATCTTGAAGTTCAAACATATTGAAAGATGTGATTTTTATATTAATGATCTAATGACAGAAAAAAATTTGTTTTAGAAAGTATAATATCAATAACAATTTTGTGGAGTTTTATTGTATTATAAGGACATTTCCAAAAAGGTTGAAAAGTATGTTAGAAGGTAGTTCTTAGTTGGACAATATTGAAAAAATAATGAAAAAAGAATAAAACTCCTGTAAATTTTTTATGAATTTATTTTTTGAAGAAATTAAAGTGCTGGTTTTATCTTCCCGTAAAAATAGGAAACATATTTAAATATGCAGATAGAAATTGAAAACTATCATTAACTATTATCCGCTATATAGATGATGTTCTCTCATTAAATAATTCTAAATTTGGTGACTATGTTAATCGAATCTATCCCATCTAACTTGAGACAAAAGATACAGTTTAGTCCGCCTCATATCTTGACTGACATCTAGAAATTGACAATGAGGATCAGTTGAGAACGACAAAAGAGATGATTACAGCTTCCCAATTGTGAACTTTCCATTTATATGTAGCAACATTCCAGCAGCGCCTGCATACGGAGTATATATCTCCCAGTTGATACGATATTCCAGGGCTTGTATTTCCTATCATGATTTCCTTAATAGAGGATTGTTGCTCACAAGGAAGCTATTAAACCAAGAGTTCCAAGTGGTGAAGTTGAAGTCATCCCTTCGTAAGTTTTACGGACGCCATCACGAGTTGGTTGACCGTTATGGAATATCCGTTTCACAGATGATGACCGATATGTTCCTAATGTAGTAACTACAATCCCGTACCCTTTTCCCGAATGTGACCTACCGAATTAGAATTATTACCGGGTTTGTAATAACATGAGCAACACGATGAGTGCCATATGTGGAGCAGGATCTGCTTACCCTTCCGGAGCACCTGATATCATCCCCATTTTTGGTGGGGTTCGTGCTGCTCAGGCTTTAGTTTTCTATGTTGTGTTTTATGTACTATTGTTTGTCTATTGGTCTTTTTCTTTTTTAGCCATGGCTTTGTCTGTTTATTTGCGACATATGAGTTTGTATGTCCCTCTGGTATCTTTCGCCCCTCTTTTAACTCCATGCTTTTTGAAACAACCCGAAATTCGTTTATACAAAATTTCTATTTTCTATTTCTACCATATAATTTAATTCTTTTCAAATGCAAATCAAAGGAGACTGAGCTATTTACATTTTGTTTAGAAATCAGAGAAACTATATTTTAAATTTTTGTATAAAGGTTGTCATGACTACTGACATTTAATAAATGTTTGATACTGACAGCTACATTCTTGAAACGAACATAACCTGTAGCATAGAAAAGAAAAGTCATCAGATGTAGGTATTGTGTCTATTACACGATACACCTTATTACATGTATATTTCAGACTTTTGACATTAGATCATCACCTAGAGAGGATCCTATACTGAAAGTTGAAAGATCAGGGGCATGTAAGTCTTGTAAGATGACAGGTTTGCATTTCCTTGACTGGTTGTTACCTAAAATATCTACCTACATTTATTTTTCACAAAACTTAAATGACATAAATTTGAATAGAATAAAAACAAACAACTTAACTTTCCATATGTTCTTTAAAAAATAAATACAAAACACAACATAAGGAGATATCAACAAGACCAATAAGGTCAGGCGCTTGGACCAAAGGAAACCCCCCAAAAAAAACATAAAATAAATAAATTCACCCATGAAAGACAATATAAACAAGTTGAAATATCTACTCAATATGAAAACAATATCACTAAAGGTCTGGAATTTTTGAAGATTATTACAGAAAAAAGAAATTGATTAGTAGAACACTAACTGAAGCATAAAGACACATTCTTCATGTTGAAGATTATAATTACATATTAGTTATATTCCAATGATCTAAAGTCAGACAATTTAACGATTCGGACGCATGCAATTTAAAAAAATAAGAAGATGTGGTATGATGTTCAATGAGATAACTCTCTATAATAGACCAAATGACACAGAAATTAACAACGATAGGTCACAATACGGCCTTCAACAATGAGAAAAACCCATACCGCATAGTCAGCTATAAAAGGCCCCGAAATGACAAATGTAAAACAATTCTTAGAGAAAACTAACGGTCTAATTTACGTACAAAATAATGAACGAAAAACAAATATGATATAAAGCAACAAACGAGGTCCACTGAACAGGCTCCTGACTTGGGACAGGCACATACAGAATTTGGCAGGGTAAAATTAGTTTGAAGGCGCCAACCTTCCCCTAACCTGGGCCAGTGGTGTAACAGTACAACATAAAGAATAAACTTTAAAAATCAGCTGAAAAGGGCTTGACTCATCTGATGGATACAAAGCAGAAATATATGTAACAAAAATACAGTGTGGACGTGGACGGGTGCTTATACATCCCCACAACAAAAGGCACTAAGTTCAGATCTGAGCGTAGGTCACCTACGGCCTTCAACAATAAACAAAGCCCATACCGCATAGTCAGCTATAACAGGCCCTGAAATGACAAATGTAAAACAAATCAAACGAGAAAGCTAACGGCCTAATTTATGTACAAATTAATGAACGAAAAAAACAAATATGTAACTCAGCAACAAACGACAACCTATGAATTACAGGCTCCTGACTTGGGACAACATAAGAACAAACTATAAAAATCAGTTGAAAAAAGATTTACTCTTCAGATGGATACAAATAAAAATACATTTAACAAAAACACAGAGTAGACGGGTACTTATTCATCCACACAACAAAAAGACACTAAGTACAATCTGAGCGTACCTTTAGTTACTGACAGATAATTCAGCGCCAAAAACAACTAACAATAAAAAATCATGCATCTTAGACTAAAATATCAATCGGAACACACCACACAACCAATGGATTTAGTGACAAAACGTCATAAACAGTCAGAGAAAAACATGACCTGGTGCAATGCCAAGATACAGGTAACGACACATTGTAGAGCCATGAATATGCATATGTATATTAAAATAATATTTAGTTGGATTTAATTTACTGATAAAAAAATCAATATTAATACCAATAAAAACAATATTCAAAGATCTAATTAGAGTGTTGAATTGGTAACCTTTTAGAATAAGTTTATTTAAGAGATCGATAACTTTACCCGGATCGTTTCTAAATTGCCTGGCTCGGTAAACGATATCTCCATATAAATGAGGATATGCTCTCCCTTTTGAAATAAGTTTTATACCGGTACAACCAAACTTCATCTGCGAGTATTCTCAGATCTGTACTTAGTGTCTTTTTGTTGTTGGGATGTACAAGTACCCGTCTAAGTCCACTTTGTGTTGTTGTTAAATGTATTTCTATTTGTAGCCATCTGATGAGTTAAGCCTTTTTCAACTGATTTTTATTGTTTGTTCTTATGTTTTACTGTTACAGTTACACCACTGTAACACAGGTAAGGGGAGGGTTGTCGTCTTCAAACTAGTTTAACCCCGCCACATACTGTATGTGCCTGTTCCAAGCCAGGAGCCTGTAATTCAGTGGTTGTCGTTTGTTGCTGTGTTACATATTTGTTTTTTCGTTCATTAGTTTGTACATAAATTAGGCCGTTAGTTTTCTCGTTTGAATTGTTTTACATTAGTCATTTCGGGGCCTTTATAGCTGACTATGCGGTATGGGCTTTGTGCATTGTAGAAGGCCTACGGTGACCTATAGTTATTAATTTCTGTGTCATTTGGTCTATTGTGAAGAGTTGTCTCATTGGTAATCATACCACATCTTCTTTTTATATTCAAAACCAAATCTTTATATCTATGGAATAATTTAGTAAAGGTTTAAGTATTTTGTGGTATCGAAACCCCTGACTTAATTATTTACTAGTAATACATAGATTACGTTCATTGAAATCCAAAACGTCACTACAGGCACATGCATAGCGAACAAGTTGTGATACATCAACAACATAAGATGTTGCCAAATTAACATCACCTTCCAAAAATGAAAATTAACAATAGGGAACGAAAAATCGTCCTTTTTGTCGTAAATTTTAGTGTAGAGTTTCCCGTGTAAAACTGAAATATCTAAATCCAGGAAAGGACAGGTATTACCGTTTATATTTGATGCATTTAAATTAAGTTCCGTTGATGAAATTTCGGCAGTATATTTAGAAAATTCCTGATTATTTAACGAAAAAAATATCATGAAAAAAACCCGGTAAGTTTTGTTGAATTCATCAATTAAATGCAATTAAGACGGGTCTTTACTGGGTTTAGTCATAAACTGTGATTCATAACAGGAAAAGAACAAGTCTTCTATTAAAGGGATGCAATTGGTGCCCATAGGAATACCTATAACCTATCGATAAACTTTATTGCCGAAACGTACATAGATATCATCAAGGAGACAATAAACAGCTTAAATCATCTCATCACACCTCATCACATATTTATACAGAATTACTTCAGATATTTTTACAGAATTACATCAGATATTTATACATAATTACATATTCTTATATGTAAATATAAGAATAAAAGAAGATAAACAATTAATGTAATAATTAAGAATGATATTGCAAATAAATAAAAAACTTATTTATCAAGCAATATTGCAGGTTTGTTTGGTGTTATAGTTTATGCTGTACACATCAATGGTGATACTACAAAAGACAACCAGTTAATGATGTGGTTTGGTAGACGATGAAACTCTAGGCCTACATATCATAATATGTTAGATAATATGGTAAGTATATATCAGAATATTAGTTTTTTAAGCGATAAAAAAAAATGTCACTAATGGAAATTGTAAAATTTGGGGCCAATGCTAAATATCTCAAAATATTAATTGCATAGCGTGATGAACGATATCTTTTAATCAGCTTTACTTTATATTACACAGTCGTTGAGTAAAACAGATTTTTCTGTGTTTGTGACATTTTTATTTCAGTGTTCAGGTGGGCTGACGTCAGGACAGAGTGTCAGACAATGCGCTATTAAAGAATGTGCAGAAGAGGCATCAGTACCAAAAAAACTGACAGACAAACTAAAAGCAGTAGGATGTGTGAGGTAATCTTTTACTCTCTTAATTTTTTGTATCATTAAAAACAACGGAAATTGTTCATATATAGAAAGAGACCATATAGTATGTTTTGTTGATACGGAACGTTCATTATCTAAAGCCGCTTCACAGAGGCATACACAAATTTGAAACAAGTTTGATTTTTTAAGATTAATTGTAAAGTATCAACAAGTTATTAAACAAAAGCTTAAGTATTTGAAGTACATGATTATCATATTTTCAGAAACTAAACATTTTCAAAACAACCAATAACCTTCCTTTAGCAATGGACTGCAATTTTTGCCAGTTAATCAGTTTATAAACATGAAAATCAATTTGTAACTTGAAACCTAGCTTTTTTTCGCTAATTGTTATTCCTGATGGACGACTTCAAACTAGAGGCTACGACAATCGTGCACATTTCAACTTTCCAATTGTTAACTTCTCATTTCGCAGCAGTAACATACAATATGTACCATCGTCGGTAATCTTATAACCCTATGCTGTCAGATGTAGTTTTTCTGTCGTAAAGATTTCATATTTTAAAACGCATATATAGTTGTAGTAGGTTATATATTCTATTAGTACAGAATAATGCATTATGTCGTTTTTACTATCAATATTTTGTCACATCAAATAAAGGGATACCAGTTGATAAGAAAAATGTACGCATAGAAATATTACGAAACCATATCATTTATTTTAATACCTTGATGTGATTACAGCCATATATTTGAAGATAAACGAGGAGTTTTCCCTGAGTGTGAGTATGTATTTGACCTACATCTACCATCAAATTTTTGGCCTGTGAATGCTGATGGTGAAGTTGGCAGTTTCGAAATGATTACTATTGAAAAGGTAGAGTCATAATCATATTGTAGAAATAATATAAAATTATTTCCGTTTAGGTGTTTCATATTAGCCTTAATTTTCCCATTATGTGTGTAATTTTAAATTATTCGAAAAAATAAGTTGTCTTTCCACTTAAATTACGTTAACAGTATTTGGAATAAATTTTCGCATTTTTTATGCCCCCGCTGCGGCGGAGGGTGCATTAAGTGATACCCTTGTCCGTTCGTGCGTACATTCCAAATGGTTTCCGTTCTCTAACTTTAGTTGGCCTTATGTTTTAAAACTTATCAACAATGCTTATTATAAGCCTGGTATGAAACGTAAGGGGAGTCTGATGTGGCTACATTTCAAATATAGTAAATGTCTAATTACGAAACGTGAAAGGTCAGTAAACGGGTAGCAAAAAGATATAACAAAAATACCGAACTTCAATGTAAATACAAAACCAAACGTTATCACCCAACTGTAAGGAGTGGAAAACAATTGACTTGATACATGCATTTTCCGGAGAAAATGGTGGATTAAACTTGTTTTATAGTAGAGAGGCACAACATTTATGTTTATCAAATTGTGAATTGCACAGCTATAACAACGTTAAGGTGTAGTTACTATGGTTTTCCCTTATTTCCTCAATCCTCTTTTTGAAAAGTTAAAATTACAATAAAAACTTCAATGTACAGTCAATAAAAAATCATGGAAAAACCGTATGTTAGAAAATAGACGCTGTTTTAGCCTTAGTAATACGCAGTATGACTTTCTTAACAAGGTTTTAAGTTTTTAATCATATGTGGTAATGTCCTAACTGTTAGAAAAGTTTGAAAGAAATTTTGGTTTTGACAGATAATGGATAATATTGGTTTAGAGGACTTCAGGCCTAGTTCAGCAATGATTGCATTGGATTTCTTAATACGACATGGATTTGTTTCACCAGAAAATGGTAAATATTCTTTCTTTCACTTCATTTGAGCCCAACACATAAAGTAGTTATATTATGAAAGAATACCACGTATAAGGAAGTGTGCATCATTTCAAAATTATAGGCCTCATACCTCTACAAAAGAATTAAGGACACATTATCCTAGATTACTTTTCCTTGGGTAACTAATTACGTTTGATTGTTACAGTGTGATTAATCTATTAGATACTTGATTTTACAGTTTGCAAAATACAAATTTGTGCGCAGTTATTGGTTGAATTGTCGCAGGCAAACTATTGGATATAATCAGAAAAAATCGTACACTTGACACATTGAGCAGCTCTCGTAACACGTTTATTGTTGCCTTTGTAAAAGGTAAAATAGCAAAAACTACAAGGAAAATTCAAAACGGAAAGTCCCTTATTAAATCGCAAAAGCCATTATATTGACAACAATGTGTGAGCAAAACAAACAGACATAATTGGTTTAAATTTTCAAAAAAGGAGGTACAGCAGTCAGTAAGCTTTATATTAGATTTTCCCCAAATACCAGAACAGTTTTTACAATATACCTACAGTCACGTTTAGGTTAATGCTTTCGGTGTCAGTTAAACTCCATTCAAACATATCCCCTGCATGTATATGAAGATGAAGTTAGCTTCCCACCTCAGAACACGCAATTGACTTTCGATTCATGCTTCATTCACTTCGACAAACGTTATATCAAATTAATTACCACGGTTTTTAAGGAGCATTAGTTACGAATAAGATGAAAATTTAAATACGATATTTAAGTTTCAAGTGATTTGACAAGCGGAATACAGAAATGATATTTCTGTATTAACAGTCAGTTTGGTTTGAAATAAGCTCCGAAGAAAAAGCCAACGCTGATGTACTATTGGCTTGCAAGTTAATAAGTCACCCACATTTGAATCCGTATTAATGCAACCTTTAATTTGACCATTGACTAGAGATGGGTTGGGCATGTGTTCAGAATGTGGTCAGGATGTTCATTCATCAAAAGAAATGAATGTCAACATTGAAAAGCGAAACAAGCGAGCCACCAGAAATAACCTTTAGTTGACTGAACCGGTGCACAAAACAAATCATACTTAGAGTTGTAAAACTATGATTTACATATATTTTTTGATCTGTGACATGAAATCAAACACATCCAGACAATCGTAATAATGCAATTGCACATGTGTGCCTGTCTGTTTACGTTTGATTTCATGTTTATATGGGGTTATATAACCAATGGCAGTCTTCGGAGGTCATCTCGATTAATAATTAGATGGTGTCTAGACTAAAATAAGCCCGAAATATTGATACATTACAACGAGTCTATTGTTAACTGTATATTTGTTTATGTCATTTGGATATACGTTTAAGTATGTTATAAATCAAATATGAGAATATGTTTCAAATCGGTGAACATGAATTTAGCCATAATTACTAGTCTTATAGCTATTATATACACGTATGACTATGTTTACCAACTGTTCATACCTTTTAATATTTTTCTCAATTTTGTAAGTTTAGTTTTTTAGTAGTTGATTTCATTCCAATGGTTGAATTTGACACATTGATTGCACAAATGTAGGTAATGACAGTTTCTTTTTGAAGATTGTTTTATATATTACCATTCAGTAGTGTTCTTATGCTTATTTCCTTCATTTTTTGGGGAATAGAGTAAATAAGAAGTATATTATGCTATGATTGAATTTGTTTTGCGTGAACCCCCTGAGTGGGGGGTTCACGCCTATATATTGGTGAGTTTTGGTAACGTCTATGGGCCATTTGGATATCTCTGGAAACAAGAATCTCGGTACCTCTCGAAAATTTTCTATCATTTATACAAGTAGTTATCTATGTCTTTGATAGCAGGGGCGTAGCTACCTTCTTACTGAAGTGGAATCACAAACTAAAGGGCTAGGGGTACGGTGGCCGCTCAAGGCCCCCAGTGGGTGCAGGGCACAGTCCTGGTAGGGGGCCAGGGGAGCGAAGCCCCCAGAAGCTCTGCATATATAGCGTTTCGAAACAATCACAACCGTAAAAAAACTTGTACATTTTTGTTGTGGTTTTTTGGTCAACTATTTGTTAAACTTAGAGTCGAATGAAGACTTAACATTGTCGTTTGCGTTTTTTGAACGCGTGAGAGCTTTTAAAATCACGGAGATGTGTTCCATATGCTAGTATTTGTATTGAGCAAAGTATATCTATAAAAAAACAAACAATAAACATAAACACAATACAATACTATGTGGAGTTTCTGTTAGCATAAACATATAAAACAATCAATCAGATTGAATCGAAGTCTTAAATACGAACTAACCAGCGAAATTGTCATAAACAGACGTACACCTGATATCTAGATTTCAATACGGCAACCTAATTTGAATCTACATAGAAATAGTCATATATTTATTTTCTGACACAACTTGAACAACTTCAGTGGTTAGCGGTCCGTGCTTAGCTGACAAGTTACAAGGGAAAATTTCTGTACTTACTCGATAGACACACTTCCAACAGCAGTAGACCAAATTTCTGCCCTACCGTGATCAAATAACCTACGTATTATGTTGTTCTTGTCTTGAATATGCATGGAATATTCGCAACTGGACGACTACCAAACAATATAATATACAAGTTGCTTTCTTTAAAAAAAGAAATACAATCGTGAATCAAATGCCTGTTTGGTATATAAGATCAGATATTGCTATATACAAACGCATGATTTTATCTCACACTGTTGATTTTTTTATACGATTGTGTGACACAGAGGGAAGCAGGAATAACGGTGCCAATTCAGTATAGCGCATGTTCAGTACGCAATTTAAAAATCCCGTTTTTGCCATCTCATTTCCATTGAATACAGATATTGATTTAAAGAAAAATAATTTGTTACTAAGTTGTACTATTTTTTGCTTATGAATACAAACGATTTTTTATCGCCCTTATGTGTAAGGATATCGTCATATTTTTTCGCCAAAAATGCTCTAGGCCTCTGTCAATTAGATTATTTAAACTCGCTAATGAATAAATATTGCCTCAACTCCTTGAAAACAAATTGATGGAATTCCCAGAAACTTGCACTGATTCTTGAAGTTGTGCACCTGCTACTTCAATTTTTCGTCTGATTTTGTGTGTGTGTGTGTGTGTGTTTGGGGGATGGGGTTCACATACCACAAAGAATATCACTCAGTGTGTCTGTAAATCGTTTCATATCAATAGAATTATTGTAAGGACTCAAACTAATATTCATTTATGAACTGTTTCGATATGACATATAATTTCTGCATTTAACACACCTGTAAGATGCTTTTGAAATTTCGTCGTAATTTCCAGGGTTAACTTGCATTTATTAATAAGATTAAGTTAATAGATGCATCACGTTAATACCCCTCCCACTCTGTCGGATTGAGCAATTCCTATATGTTAACTTTGTCCGTCTCTCTCTTCCTCTGTATTGTTTTTTTGTGAAAACGACGTGGATGCATGTGCTGTCGTGCCTCCGGGTATCTACGCCCCTGGATAGGTCCCTCTATGGATAGGCTACCACGAGACATTGTATATTTCAACAATCAAAGTTCATTTTGAGATCGGATTGTCAAAAAAATAAAGACTAGGTTGCAGTCAAAAAATCATTTATATGTTAGAACCTTTATGCCTTTTGACAGAGCATATGTGTTTTTAATAATGCGAATGTTTATCAAATATCAAGTATAATGACAATGTAGTTATATAATTCATGCTTTGAGACGGTCCATGTACGCGTTGTCTGTGTGTAGGATTTAATACAGATTGTGACAATAAACCTGGGAATAGTTTATTAATATATATTGTCCCGGAATAAACTGATTATTTCTGAACGTTTATCACGTGATATTTTGTATTTCAATCATAGCCTGGGAAATTTGTCGGAAAGCATGAAGAAAATTAACAAAACGATATTTCTGTTATAAATATTTATCTTAGGTCGGAAACACAGCGTCGGAAAGCAGAAAGATAATTAAACAAAAAAGATTTTTCTGTCAAAAATATTTAATTCCATAAATAGATTCTACCAGACAAGGAGAATATTCATTAAAATTTTTAAGTTTAAACTGAGACTAAATTTTTCTTAATAGAATATAATTAAAGATGGTATATATTCGTGTATTATGTCCCACGGGTTTGAACAGCGAACACATTTTTGAAAATTGTATGCAACATATGAGCACCAATGAGCCGGGATGCGTACACATAAGTTAGTATCTAAATTTTAAACGGTAGTGAATGAAAAAATTACTTGTATGGTTTCAATTCACAAAGATTTTAAATCCTTCTCACAAAAACGTAATTAATATTTTACAATAATCATAAAAAAAATTAATTACTTAGTCACTACGTTAATTATTTTTTACTGTTTTAATATGGATTTATAAGTCTCCGTTTATATTTTGTAAAGCAATACATTCATATAGTGGAAAGTTGGACTTTAAGAAGAGATTGATTTGATAAATAAATTGTCCCATCTGTAAATACTTGAGGTTTGTGTTTATTGATATTATATCCTAAATTTTCGGAAAAGAATCATTAACAGGAATGTATATTTATGTTTATTATTAAATTTCAATAATTATTCTTTTTTTTAATAGTTCAACCATATAGCATCTAAATCTTTGCAATATAGTACGATTTTGAAAATTGTATTCATTGTGTTGACCAGCTATCCTACACGTCTTGGTTCATTTACATTATATATCACCCTGTTCACACGACACACTATCGGTTTGCGCTCACACAAATTCCGGAATAAATGGCAATGAATCCGGAGTCAAACCACTGGAGGTAGGTAGTTTGACATTAGAATTGAACTATTAAACATTAGATTTGAGCCTAGATTAACATATGTGATGACGCAAATGCGTATTCTTATCCAGAGTATCAGTGCGTCTGCTTTCTATTTACTATTTCTTGCGCAAAAAAAACATGCATGGATAAATATTAGTTTCACTCGCGAATGTGAATTTTTGCTTTTTTTCATCTAAATTCAGGACACGGCAGTAAGAGCTTGACATGTGACTTTCAAGCATGGTCATCATTACTTAAGGTATTATGACCTCTAGCTGTTTTTCTTTTCTTTTGTTTTATTTTGAGTAACTGTCCTATTATAAACTTTTACATTTTCGAAACGCTAAGGATATTTTACCCCAGGAATAGATTACCTTAGATGTATTCGGCAAACCCTTTGTTTCGAAATTTTGGGTCCTCATGATCAATTCCTTTAAACTTTATTTGGTCTTTTTAACTTTTCTTATTCGAGCGTCACTGATGAGTCTTTCGTAGACTGAATTCGCGTCTGGTGTACAACATTTTAATCCTGGTATCTTTTTAGATCTACATATCTTTTTATATGAATTGGTTCTTTTGAGAGTATGTTGAGGTATTCATAAAACTTCTGAATATAAGATATTCTTCAAAACCAAATTTTCCTGTAGAATATTTGGATTGATTCAAGTGACTTTAGGAAATCCTTAAAATTTGAGATGTTTTATGAGACCAAAATAATTGTCGGTATATAAGAGGTCCCAATGAAGCTGGTGTGTTACTCTCAAGAAAAATTCACGAAACCTTCTTATAAGTTGCATGCCACAGGGTTTCACTTCACATGGAAATTGGACTTTAAATTTATCCTTACATCATCTACCATGAGTACAGACAGCTTCAGTAACGAGTATAAGAATAATTGAAGGCATCCAGGAAACAAAATATGAAGTCATGATAGATAAAAGTAAATGCATCCAGATTATAAAGCAAACCAAGTGCTTAAATTTATATTGTTCCAAGTAATAAAGAAAATAGTCAAGCCTTAAAATGTAAATTCAAATAATAGCTGTATATATACACTTTTTTATTCACAACTATCCAACATTTCTTTCAATTGACTTGTACAAGAATCTAAACACAATAACTTATGTTCAACAAAGGTGTTTTAACATCATCATTATCTTATTCTATTCACGGTCAATTATTTCAAATCAAAAGCAAACACAAATTTAGCAACATTTGTTTGGTGACTAGTCAGCTGTCTCGGGTTCACGTTTTGCTTTTGTTTTTTTAAAGAAAGCAAATTGTTCTTTTCTTTTAACAATTTCCAAACACTTATGGCTAAAGAATTCAAGAATAATTTTTTTATATAGCACATTTAACTTTTGTTTCTATCCCATAACTTTTGCTTAATACATTTCTGTATAATGTACAAAATCATACCTTAAGTGCTTTTTGATGAACCGTATTCAAGGTACAATTTTGGTAGGTTGCGCCTGCATTATGCTGCGCACAGTTTCACTCAATGATATATACAATTTTTGTACAAATTTGGCCGTAAAGGAACATATCTAAAGTGAAAGTTTTTAGTTATAAACAAATTATCTTACGTTTTACATTTTTTTTCAGAGAAGAATTATGCATACTTAGTAGAAATGATGCATATACCGCTACAAAGTTACTTCTCTTATACAACTCAATTGTTGAGCAGATAGGAATTACAGCAATATTGAAGACATGAATAGTAGTCTTAGATAAATATGCTATGTTTCAGGTAAAAAACTGAAAATCGACTTTCAGATTAAATTTTATTTTATTATCTAACGCATTTTATTTGATTCATAATGAAATATTATGAAAATCTAGAAAACAAAATTGAAGTTTGGTGGTAATTCAATTGTTTAGTATTATATAAGAAATGTTCACCAGTTATAATGCACAGTAAAAAACAAACACACATTTTTACCGAAAGTTTGTACATTAACTGCCAAAAGATATAGACTTAAATGGATCCTGTTGAACAACAGTGGATCATGATAGTCAATAATATTTGATTTCATGTAGCAAGCGTAGATAAAATCTAATCAGAGTTACACAGCTTATAATTTGGTACACAAGACGCGCGTTTTGTCTTCACAATACTCATTATTAGCGTTTTGAATAATTAGATACTAAAGTCACAGTAAAACAGAATAATGAACATATCAGTGATTTTTAATGTGATCGCAGAAGTGCTGACTACTGGGGTGTCGATACCCTTGCCCAACGGAACGTTCCCCGGCTGTTGCATCGACCGAGAGGTTGTAAAAACTTATCAGCAGTGCTCGAACCATTACAGTTGGAAGGTCAAATCATAAAAGAAGATGGAGCATAAAAAAATAGACCAGTTTTAGAATTGCTTTTTTTATTTTACTTCTTATCAAACATCTCTTGGAAGTTAACACAAAAAATTCAAAGTTTATTACTTACTAGTATATGGAATTATAATTAAATAAAAACAAATAATTGAATTAAAAAAATTTCTGTGTATCATCTAATCACTGTTCTTTCAAAAGTTTTAATGAGCCCTAGCAGTATGAGCAGATATGAGTTCACATGGATTAAACCCTAAAGATTCATGCACAGAATCCCTAACAGCAAACAGAAGTAAACACATACCTTCATCCCAATTTTTTTATAACTCAAAACACATAAATTATATTCATCAGTGTCCAATGGAACCTCTCTGAGGCATCTTGAAGTTATGGATGCTATCCACTCGACTTCTACTGATTTATGCATAACTTATACGTAACTAATAGTAAATAAAACAATCCCTACATAAAATCTGAACCTTGAGCATACTGAATTGACTACAGGAGTCCTATTAAAGTGAAAAATGTCACAAATGATACAAATACTAGCAGCTCTAATATTCCTTGGAGGCACACATAGTATAAACTCATTGCCAGATTGTTTGTATTGTAATGGTCCTACACAGGTTATACATACTCAAAATTTCTTTTCTATATTTGTTCTTGTCAACTATCTGATGTATTTTTTTCCATTCCTCGTCAGCAGGCACGTCATGGGGTTTATATTTTCTCAACACAATTCCTGACCTCAGTCTCAACCACTGTTTAAACACTATTATAAATTGAAGACACCTCAGACAGTGACGAAACGCCCTTAAAAGAAGATTGAGAACCAACAGTTCCCTAAAGATCTTTTTCTGTTTGAAGATTAGAATTATCACCTGTTATTAAATGACACAAAACCTTCAGCAACAAAGGGTTCATAATCCTTCAAAATACAGAGAATTTAACGTTATCCTCTTGAACAAGGCCTACTAAATCTTGTTTTGTTGTAGCTGAATTAACAGGTTTAGTGAAAGGGATAGTACTCATTTCTTTTCAATTCTCTGGGGGGTCCAACATTTATAGAATAACTTCAAACAGGTTCATTGGTGGGTCAAATGATTATTAAAATTTTGGATTCCAGATTTTTCTTTGTATTCAAATCTTTTTTGATCGCTTGAAACGTAAATATTGATATTATAAATTTTAAATTCATAAGAAAAATGTTCTTTTTCAGAAAATGTGTTGTGGTAGAAAAATGAATGACAAACTGATATGAAGAATTTTCAGCTCATCGTCGTCTCATTTTTAAACCAAACATCCTCATTTATTCAGAACTAGGCACTACAGATGATACAAAAGGCACCACAACAATTATTAGACTTTAGTTTGAAAGCTTATTAAGTGATTTTCAAAAATAAATATTTTATTCATGGAATGACAGATTGGTCCAATTCATTTCTTTTATTTCATATAATTCTTCATCAAAATAATTATACATATACACACATTGTTTACATAATAATTTATTTCTACATAGACTAGGTGTGTTGGCAAACCTGTTATCCGTAGAGTAAGTCTTGTGCTTGAGGTAGAGGGTTCGATTTATTCATTTAGACTCACTGTGTTTAGACTCGTTTGAAAATACAGTAGAGGTGGACATCTGGATATCAATTAAAGACCAGCGCCTTTACGTATGACACTATTTTAATCCCCCCCCCAAAAAAAAAATATACATAGAACATATGCAGTAAACCGGAATGATATTAGCGGTGTTATAACAATGTTAATGTGTGCTTTAACTCAACCTCCAATCAGCAAATGATAAAATTGATACAACGACTTCAAAATTTATGCTCAGCAATTATCAATAATATAGAAATAACTCCTCATAAAATGAGTGTCTCGCCTATAAATGGACACATCTGAATGACTTTTGAATAAAGAACAGCAATAATGGATTATCTCTAAATATATATTATCTCTGTATAATGTACAATACACAATCATTTGGAAACCGTTTTATTTCCTCATATCAGTTAAGGCATCAAAATGTACACTTTTAATAAAGGACACTAAAAAACTACATTATACACTTTATTTATTAATCTTGCTGTAACATCTCGATTGTACAATTTTTGGCCGCTTTGTATACAAGTATGTACAGTTTGAAACTTAATAGCCTTCCAATGTCATTTGCGAATGTCATACACAGTATGTTATTCAAACGTTATCTTGTATTTACTTTCTTTCATTTTTTCTTTAAACTGAGCATCAAATTTTTCATTTTGTGCGACCGTAAAATGATTTTTCCAATCTCCTATTTCACCTGAAAAATAGTTCAACGTTAATTTTACTTTTTACCTCATTTTGGCTATTTCACGCATGTTAACTTACGTTGCTTTAACATAGCACACTTTTGTTTAATATCCTCGATTTTCATATAGTCATGTTACTTTAAACAACTTTCTGAATTTGGCCCAAACAAATACAGGAATTGTACACTTTTCGGTTAAAAAACTTGCATTTTAGTACTTGTATTATAAAAAAGGAAAAAAAGGACTTATTTAAAAACACATTTAAGCTAGTTTATAGAATTTTGTGTTGATGGCAGTTCTTGTATAGTTTTTCTTTTTTATTTTTTGATAATCTTAAAGACTAGTGACGATTTAGAGTTTTACATATTGTAAAGACACCCATTCCTGTCTATACTGTTTGTAAAGACACCCATTCCTGTCTATACTATTTGTAAAGACACCCATTGCTGTCTATACTGTTTGTAAAGACACCCATTCTTGTCTATACTGTTTGTAAAGACACCCATTCCTGTCTATACTGTTTGTAAAGACATTCATTCCTGTCTATACTGTTTTGAAGACACCCATTCCTGTCTATACTGTTTGTAAAGACACCCATTCCTGTCTATACTGTTTGTAAAGACACCCATTCCTGTCTATACTGTTTGTCAAGACATCCATTCCTGTCTATACTGTTTGTAAAGACATCCATTCCTGTCTATACTGTTATAAAGACACCCATTCCTATCTATACTGTTTTGAAGACACCCATTCCTGTCTATACTGTTTTAAAGACACCCATTCCTGTCTATACTGTTTGTAAAGACACCCATTCCTGTCTATACTATTTGTAAAGACATCCATTTCTGTCTATACTGTTTGTAAAGACACCCATTCCTATTTATACTGTTTGTAAAGACACCCATTCCTGTCTATACTGTTTGTAAATTTGTAAAGACACCCATTCCTGTCTATACTGTTTTAAAGACACCCATTCCTGTCTATACTGTTTGTAAAGACACCCATTCCTGTCTATACTGTTTGTAAAGACACCCATTCTTGTCTATACTGTTGGTAAAGACATCCATTCCTGTCTATACTGTTTGTAAAGACACCCATTCCTATCTATACTGTTGGTAAAGACACCAATTCCTGTCTATACTATTTGTAAAGACACCAATTCCTGTCTATACTGTTTGTAAAGACATCCATTCCTGTCTACACTGTTTGTAAAGACACCAATTCCTATCCCTACTGTTTGTAAAGACACCCATTCCTGTCTATACTGTTTGTAAAGACACCCATTCCTGTCTATACTGTTTTAAAGACATCCATTCCTGTCTAAACTGTTTTAAAGACACCTATTCCTATCTCTACTGTTTGTAAAGACATCCATTCCTTTCTATACTGTTTGTAAAGACATCCATTCCTGTCTATACTGTTTGTAAAGACAACCATTCCTGTCTATACTGTTTTAAAGACACCCATTCCTGTCTATACTGTTCTAAAGACACCCATTCCTATCTATACTGTTTGTAAAGACATCCATTCCTGTCTATACTGTTTTAAAGACACCCATTCCTGTCTATACTGTTTGTAAAGACATCCATTCCTGTCTATACTGTTTTAAAGACACCCATTCCTGTCTATACTGTTTTAAAGACACCCATTCCTATCTATACTGTTTGTTAAGACATCCATTCCTATGTATACTGTTTTAAAGACACCTATTCCTGTCTATACTGTTTGTAAAGACATCCATTCCTGTCTATACTGTTTTAAAGACACCCATTCCTATCTATACTGTTTTAAAGACACCCATTCCTGTCTATACTGTTTGTAAAGACACCCATTCCTGTCTATACTGTTGAAGATTGCATGGCGATCTGTTGATGTGTTTGTTATATTTGTATTGTCGGGGTGCGGTCTCAATGATGTATACGTCACGTCTCCTTTTGTTCACGTGATGTATTTAACTTTCTAACCTCATTTCGAAAGCCCGTATCTAAGGCTACCATTTGTAAAAGCTTATTGTTATTAATTAGAATGACAGTCAAGATTACCAGTTTAGTCACAAACTAACTCAAGAAGAAGTCTAACCTATTTTGCAACCGGTCTACCGTCAAGATCAAAGATAAAGAGGAAAATGAAAGACCAAAAATCTCGTGAATAATAAAGAGAAAACACAATAGAATAATTCCATTTCGTTTTTCAAGATGAACAGACCGTGTATAACATAACTGTATAGGTCATCTTACATACACAAACACGTAAATCCGACAAATTATATACGTACCTTTGCGATATATAAACCCTTTGCCATCTAAAAATCACCGTGGTATCAAATTTGTTTTTCTGCATATTCTTAAATGATGTTTCTTTGGCAATCTTTTCTAATGTAGTATCTGAACATGCTATACCAAGAAAATCTGCAAGTTTCTTTATCTCTCTAACAGGTTCCTGGGGTAAATCAGTGTAAGTAATGAAATTAAAAATAATGCATAATGAAGTTGGATGCACTTAAGATATTTTGTGCGTATGTAACAAACTGTTAACACAGAGATATGTCTCGCGTTTTGTAATTTTGATGGAATAATGCAAATGTTGAAATTAAAATGGCAATATTTGAAAATGTAAACTTTGCAAATCATTCAAAGCCAATGAACCATGACTGAAGGTGCAGGGCCTAATAACCTCCACGGAAATGCCAATGCTTAGAAAACGGCATACCAAATACAATTGACTTATCATAAGTGATTCCCTTTATGTATCCTAAACACAAACTTGAATTTGTAAACTATGTAAAAATTTCAAAGTCAATGAACCATGATGAGGGGATCACCCGGGTGGGCCATATAATCTCCATGGAAATGAGACTTGCAAATGGCAATACAACTACATACCAAATATCATTGACTTAAAATTAGTCGTTTATCTTAAACATTCCAAGTCAATGAACATGATTGAAAAGGGGTGGGCAAACAATCGCCATGGAAATGAGATGTTCCAATGCTAATACATCTGCATACCAAATATCATTGACCTAACACTAACAGTTCCCCTTTAACTGACCTAATCACAAACTAATACATGTAAACTAAGCAAAAGTTTAAAAGTCAATAGACCATGATTGACGGGGCGGGGCAAAATAATCTCCATGGAAATGAGATGTAACAATACTAATACAACTCCATACCAAATAGCATTGACCTGTCACTAGAAGTTCCCCATAAACTTGACCTCATCACAAACTAATACATTGTTGACGCCGCCGCCGCCGACGCTGGAAACAGCACGCTTCATTTTCGCTTTTTAGACTTCGTCGACGAGACAAAAAATGATTTCTCAGACATTATAAAAGGTTAATATTAAGGCTCCATGATACGATTCAAGTCAGCTTTTATTAACTTGGTAATAGGTGATTCTTTATAATATTTATATGATTATATAAATATCGAAATGAACACCCCAAAATAGTGATTGTTTCATTTTGCCATTTAAAAAATTTCAAATGTACACAATGTAATGAAAATTGAAGCAATTTCCTGAACCCAACATAAGTTGAAGAGAAATTGAAAACGCCGTGACAAAAAAAAAAAACCACGAAAAGACAAACAAGTCCTCAAAACACTACATAAACATGAATTCCCACCAAAAACCATGGGAGATCTCATGTGCTCCGGAAGGGTTATAGCTGATCCTGCTCCTCATGTCAAGGTAAAACTATGACACCTGCTCTTCGGTTGATAAATGCTAGTAAGAATTTGCAGTTGAAGTTGTCAGTTTTATAGCATTTAGTTTCATACGAATGCAACATTATACTTTATCTCTTTAGACTATCAATAAAAGTGATTAAAATAAATTATTAGATAACGGCTGCCACTGAAGATATAAAAAAAGACTGACTACCTGTTTCATATCTTCATAATAACAGGTAAAAATCTTCCCAGGAAAGTCTCCCGTTGCTCGTTCTATTTCTAACTCATAGTTATACCATGTTCCATAAGGCACTATGGAGTATACAATAAACATTTTGTTATTAAATACGTAAACATATCTCCACCTTATCTTCAAAGTATTAACATTTCTGAAGGAAATCAACAAACTGTTGATATATTTGCAGTGAATCGTCAGACTTGAAGAACTATATTATCTTACTGGGGACTCTCTAAGTACATAATTATGTAAAGAGACCCTCGAAGTATAAGTAACCGTTTCAGAACTAAAAGATTTAAAATTATTGGTAACTTCATTGTAAGAACACAAAAAAAAAAAAAAAAAAAAATAGAGAATGTGTCTATGGGCCATAGATGCCCCCGCTTGTAAATATGCATGAGTCAACTCCCACATACAGATGCAGGATTCACGTTATTAAGACCGTTTTTTTTGTGATTATAAGCATTGTGTATAAGTTTCATAACATTTGGTTGAGACAAACTAAAGTTAGAGAACGGAAACGACAGATTTAGCAATTTTTCCATTTATAAAGGGGCATAACTCAATAACTGTAACAGTGACGCCACCCAATTCCACACTTGATCTGTGTTTTGTGGTAATAAGCATTGTGTATAAGTTTTATAATATTTGGTTGAGGCAAACTAAAGATAGAGAACGGAAACAAAAAATTCAGCAATTTTTACGTTTATAAAGGAGCATAACTCATTTACGGTAAA